AAAGTGGGCAGAAGATGACAAAGGAACAGTGATCCAGGTGGGCAGCCGTGCTGGTCTGAAGGAGCAGAACAAAGCTGGAATCCAGTGGCCCCTTCAAAGACTAAAACAAAGTTTTATTCTGGGTATAAGCCTTTGTGTGCCATACATGCTTTCTCTCATGCTGGATAATGCACTCTGTGTTTTATTGATTAATTAATTAAAATGTTTATACCTCACCTTTCCTCTTGCTTCATGGCAGCTTGCGATAATAGTTAAAACACCCCCAGCTAAAACCAAAGATAAAATAGCAATGCCCAAATCCCTCCCCGCCTTAAAAGATGCCTGCTATTCAGACCCCCTCAAAAGAGTCCTGGCAAGCAGACAGTCCTTACAGCACTTCCTGGATATATCCAAGGAAGGGGGCCCCTCTCACTTCTTCAGGGAGCCCATTCTACAGAGCTGGAGCCACGCTGGCAAAGGCCCCAGCCCCAGCCAATGTCAGATGGGATAGCCAACAGATGGCTGCCTGATAACCGTCGTTGGTGCATGGGGACACATGGGAGGAAACAGTTCTGTGTTCCAAACACGAAAATCCAGTGGCAAATGATTACTATAGTGCATTGACATGACAATTAAGATTGCTGGGGAAAAGATCAACAACCTCAGATATGCAGACGATACCACTCTAATGGCAGAAAGTGAAGAGGACCTTAAGAGCCTCTTGCTCAGGGTAAAAGAGGAGAGCGCAAAAGTGGGCTTGAAGCTCAACATCAAAAAAACTAAGATCATGGCATCCGGCCCCATCACTCCTTGGCAAATAGAAGGGGAAGTCGTGGAAGTAGTGACAGACTTCACGTTCCTGGGATCCCAGATCACTGCAGACTGTGACAGCAGCCATGAAATTAAAAGATGCCTGCTCCTTGGGAGGAAAGCGATGGTGAACCTAAACAGCATGATAAAAAGTAGAAAAAGTAGAAAGTAGAAACAACACCCTGCCAACAAAAGTCCACATGGTCAAAGGAATGGTATTCCCAGTAGTCATGTATGGCTGCGAGAGTTGGACTATAAGGAAGGCCGAGCACCGAAGAATAGATTCTTTTGAACTATGGTGCTGGAGAAGACTCTTGAGAGTCCCTTGGACTGCAAGAAGATCAAATCAGTCAATCCTAAATGAAATCAACCCTGACTGTTCCCTGGAAGGCCAGATAATGAAACTGAAGCTCAAATACTTTGGCCACCAAATGAGAAGGGAGCACTCACTGGAGAAGACCCTGATGCTGGGAAAGATTGAAGGTCAAAGAAGACGGGGAAGGCACAGGATGAGATGGTTAGACAGTGTCATAGAGGCAACGAACAAGAAATTGAGCCAACTTCAGAGGACGGCGGAAGACAGGAAGGCCTGGCGGGATTTGGTCCATGGGGTCGCGAAGAGTCGGACTCGACTGTGCGACGGAACAACAACAACAATTGATATGACAGTATATTATCCGACTATGTGTGAAAGCAACATCCGAAACTAGAAAGGCTGGACGTCTTGCTGGGCAAGCATAAACTGGAACATTTTAAATTATGCTATTTGATTAGGAACTTGCAGTGCCACCTTGAGCACAGTCATACCCTTCCAGGTCAATTGACCATATATATTAGAAGTTCTAATCAACAAGAAGGGGTTAAATTAAAGTCACAGAACTTTCACAGTTATATAATGGAACAGATTTTATTCTCTGAGCTAATTCTCCCATACTCACACCCTGTTCTTGCTAGTGTGCAATAATTTATAGTGGGGCCATTTTTGCTATTGTGATACTGTTGTCTGTTTTTGTCTTAAAGCAATCTAAATGATGGCTTCAGATATTTATTGTATTTATAAAATTTCTATGCCACCTTTCCAGAGTACCTGCTTGTATATTAAACTGCACCTGACCACAATAATATTGCTATCATTTAGAGTAAAGCAATAGGAGCATCTAATTGATTGAAAGTAATGGCAATATGCGCCACCTAGTGTTGTGTTCATGGAAGTGAAAACAAATTTTTATCTCTCTCTCCCCCCCCCAAATACTCCAAGACTTCATTGCAGGGATGGTTAGAATTTTTTTTAAAAAATCATGTTGTGAAAGTCAGTTAGTTGGCAGTCATCAGACTTCTGATTTGTGAAAAGTTCTATTTTGTTTAAAGCAATTTAATTGCCTTTACATCATGCTTGCAAAACCTGAGACCTGGAAAGTTGATGAACACATCAATTCAGCCAAATACCATGGTTTACCTGTTTGACAGCCTCCCTGTTTTTGTAGTCCCAAGGAGGCAGGTTGACCAAGACCCTAATGGACTGCCCTACATGGTTTGTGAGTTGTGTTTGGTTTTGGTGGGTCGTAAGGTGCACAGTCCTGTTTTCAGTCTAGGAGACTGTTTCTCCCAAAAACTGTCTAGAATAAAATAGTGGTACATATTAGGGTTGCATTTTTGCCCGAAGACAAGGTAGGAAATTGAATTACAGATCAGTTTACATAAATTAAGAAAATAATTCTAAACAGTGCCACCTAAACAGGATATAATTCTACTCAGAAAAGACATATGGGCTTCGGTCACACGGAGCATTAAACCGCTACAAAGACGGAAGATAGGCGGATTTTCCGGGCGCGATCACAGCACCACAACTGGGAAGCGTAGAGCTCCCGTGGCGAACCCGAGGCTTCCCGCCGAAGATGCGAAGTTAAAAACTAGTACCTCCGAGGTACTAGTTTCCGGAAACCGTGGGGCAAGGGCGGGCGCCTGATCGCGTTTCCGGTAGTAGGTCGTGGCATCCGGCGCCCGCCCATGTCCCGTCGCTAAAAGGTTTTTTCCCCCCTTCAAGTCTCCACGGGATGTGCACAAGCACCCAACGGCGCATGCACATACTTCGTTTAAAAACAAACAACACAGGCCCCTCCTCTTTTCGGTACCCCCCCACTCCTGGCTCGGCCTGCTCGAGAGGAACTCTCTGCACCGGGCAACAGAGGGGGAGGTGCAGGGGGGGGGCGTGGCGGGAGGGGGGCCCGGCTGAAGCTCCTCCTGGAGGGGACTGGACGGAGGACACAGTTTGCATTCCTCTGCAAGGGGTTAAACCCACAGGGCCTTTTGCTAGAGAGGCTGCTTCTTTGCCGTGCCGCAGGATTGTCCTGTGATTGGCACCTCCCCCCTAACCATGGGACCTCGACGGGACGTCTGATCGTGTAGCCGCACGTTATTTTGCTACGGGGCTAACAGCCACGCTCCCCCCCCCGCATTTTCCTGCCTGTGTGACCGGGGCCTTAGTTGGCCTGCTCTCTGATTGTGGCAAACTGTGCTCCACCTGGCTCAGTCTGATTTGCTAGAAGTTAATGAACAGATAGATGGCCTTGCCTAGCCGTGGTGGATTCCTGAACTTTCAATTGATTAAGTGCTGTGATTATGATTGCTATGCTTCTTCTTCTTTTTTAAAAAAATGCCTGTGCCATTAAAATAGCATGCCTGAAGTGGAGCTTTCTCCCTAAGTTTGCCAACTCCAGGCTGGGAAATTCTTGAAAAACTGAGGGTGGAGCCTGGGGAGGCTGGTGTTTGGAGAAGGGAAAGACTTCAGTAAGATATAATGCTGTCAAGTCCAACTTCTAATGCAGCCATTCCCCCCGCCAGGGGAACTCACCTCTGTAGTTTAGAGATCAACTGTAATCCCTACCTGCAAAGCAATGACAAGAAAAAAATTGCCTCTTATTGACAAAGCAACTGTGTAGACAATAATGTGGCATCTCCACTGTGGTGCTGCAATTCTATGTCCATTTACCTGAGAAAACCCATTAGGACTTCCAGTTAAAAGGATGGGACCTTGTAGATCAAATTACCCGCTAAGATGCAAATATAACACACAAAATCAAAATGTGAGTCCTAGAGCTAGTGTAAAAAGGTAAAGGCTTCCCTTGCTCGAAAGCCAGTCGAATCCGACTCTAGGGTTGCGGTGCTCATCTCCGTTTCAAAGCCAAAGAGCCAGCGCTGTCCAAAGACGTTTCTGTGGTCATGTGGCCGGCATGACTAAACACCAAGGCGCACGGAATGCTGTTACCTTCCCACCAAAGTGGTACCTATTTATCTACTTGCAATTTCTAGCTTTCGAACTGCTACGGTAGTTTGGCAGGAGCTGGAACTAGAGACGGGAGCTCACTCCGTCACGCGGCACCCGGGTCTCGAACTGCTGAACTCCTGACCTTCCACAGCCTGCCGTTCAGCGTCTTAACCACTTGAGCCACCGCAGCTCCAAGAGCTAGTGTAGTGTGTGCTGAAAGCACTGGACTAGGACCTAGGAGCCCATGGTTCAAATTCTCCCTACCAAAGTTCGCTTGGTCTTGTGGTTGCCAGCTGCAGGCTAGGGAATTCCTTGGCGTTTGGGGGGTGGAGTCTGCAAGACTGCCTGGGGAAGGAGGCTTTGGGGTGGGGAGGGACATAAGCAGAGTATAATGTCATAGTCCATCTTCTGAAGCAGGCATGTTCTCCAGGGGAACCGATCTGTCACCTGCAGATAAGTTGTTATTCTGGGAGATCTCCAGCCATCACCTGGAGACTGGCAACCCTATGACTTGGTCCAATCTTTCTCTGGCTGCCTCACCTACCTCACTGGGTTGTTGTGAGGACAAAATAGGTGTGTGTGTGTGTGTGTTAGACCCATGGAAATATTTAAGGGAAGTATAGGATAAAAATGTATGGAGAGATCTTTTAATAACCACACCACAGTATTGCCCATGAATTGAGTTCATAATACGTTTTGGGGCTAAGAGAACTTCTGTGGAGGTACCAAAATTTTTTGCCTCAGCTCCCTGGGGAATGAGTAAAACGCAGGCAAGTAAAATGTCTCGGGGTTAATTCAGAATCAGATTTGTAAGACATCCTGCGGCTTTGTAACAAGGAGCACCGATGGGTGGGGCGGGGCCGGCTTTTCTGGCCGGGCCGGCCGTTTGGGCCTTCCGTAGCCATGGCGACGGAAGCAACTGATAGTGGCAAAGCAAGCGGGCGTCATGTACGACCGGGCTCCTCGCGCCTTGACTGTGCCCTTGGGCTCCACGAGCTCCTACCTGGGCCCGGGCGCCTATGAGTTGCTGCCCAGGAGTGTACCGCGCCGAGGTGACGGGGGCGCGGGGCGGGAGGAAGAAGAAGAAGAAGGGGGGAAAGCTTCTGCTTCTCCCCTTCTGAATTTTGCCTGTCTTTAGTTGAGGGGTTGGAGGCTGCTGGGACACCGGGGTTTTTTGTGTGTGTGTGGTTTTTTTTTGTGATGGTTACTGTAGCGTTTCATTTCTGAATTGCACTAATCTGTGGCACAGGCAGCCTCGTATATTCTGAGCCTAGACAAGATTGTATTCAGAAGCAGTGTCTCCTGGTTTATGCACTTAAAAAAAAAAAATCTTATCGTATTTCAATACATTTTATGTATATTTCTCCGGAGGTAAGCTCCGCTGGGTTCGGTTTTGTGTCTTCTGTTAGGGTGCAAGAGGCTTCTACATAGCTGTGCTTTATTCCTTAAAACGTTAATTCCCAAGTGCGTGTGGATTGTAGCAAGAGCTGCCAACCTCCAGGGAGGGCCTGGAGATGTCTGAGAATCACAACTCCTCTCCAGACGTTTGAGATGAGTTCCCCTGGAGAAAATGGTTGCTTTGGAATGGGGACTGTAAGCTGTTAAACCCCACTGAAGTCCCTGTCTTCTTAAAACCCCACCATCCCGAGGTATAGTACTTATGTATTTGTAACTCAGATAAATTCAGAATGCTTTGTTTGTTTCAACACGTGGTTTCTGCTGCCATTTGTGTTTGTTTAGAAGTAAATCCCCTTGAGCTCAATGACAGTTACTCTAAGGTGTTCTTGTACACCGTTTTAAAAGCCATGTAATAGAGCCCTATGCTAATCTTACGAATGAATGACTTAAATGAATTTTATGGTGTATTTCCAAATGCACTTGATTGGAAGTGAGCCCCTTTGGGCTTAGTGGGGTTTACGTCTGAGTAAACATGCATAGGATTGTGCTATTGCTCCCAAGCAAGTATAATAGGATTGCTGTTTTACGCTTATTTAGGATTAAGTCACCTGGGATTTTTCCCAAGTAAACATACATAGGGAGTGTACTGCATATCTTCAGGCCAATTTTCTACTTCCTTTACTTAGAAATAACTCAGTAATAAAGGCCATTTTCAATATTAGTTCCAGGGTTTGATCAAGGAAATAATATATATATTTCAATATCTGATGCTGGTTTCCCCCCCAGAATTTGTTTTCAGTCATATCCTTTGAAAGTATCCCTACAATCCCCCCCCCTTCAAATTAAAAGTTCACCTTGGCTATTTATAGGCAGTTGTCATTACCATCACATGCATTCTTTGTTTGAGAGTAAGTCCCATTGAACTTGATTTGATTTAAAAAGGTAAAGGTTCCCTTGCTCGAAAGCCAGTCGAATCCGACTCTAGGGTTGCGGTGCTCATCTCCGTTTCCAAGCCGAAGAGCCAGCGCTGTCCGAAGACGTTTCCGTGGTCACGTGGCCGGCATGACTAAACACCAAGGCGCACGGAAGGCTGTTACCTTCCCACTGAAGTGGTCCCTATTTATATACTTGCAATTTCTAGCTTTCGAACTGCTAGGTTGGCAGGAGCTGGGACTAGAGACGGGAGCTCACTCCATCATGTGGCCCCCGGGTCTCGAACTGCTGAACTACTGACCTTCCACAGCCTGCAGTTCAGCGTCTTAACCACTTGAGCCACCGCAGCCAAATAAAAACGTTTAGCATTCTACAAGGGTACCTGTATTAGTCTGGTGCCGCCCAAACCACTGAGAGTGTTAGGACACCTTGCTGACTGACAGATTTATTGTGACATCACCTTTGATGAATCCATGCTGCTTTGTCAGATAGATGTTTAGTATTGTTATACAAGGCTGGGATGATCATTGGTTTTCATGAGCCTGATTCATAATATAAACTGCAGTGCCTGGTTTTAAGTTGCATTAGGCTGTGATCCCGCCATTTATTCATTACCCCAAATGATTATGCAAGTCAAAGGACTCTTCTTACTCTTCAGGGTAGACAAAGCAGATTTGCTTACATTTTAAGTCTCCTTGAGTTCAGCAAAGTAGAAAGGTGGCAAATTAATGTTTTTTTTTAAAAATAAATATTTTGGCTTTGTCTGGACCAAAGACAAACACTCTCCCGTTCTCAGGTGCTGAGCTCACAGCCACCTGGGGCCTTGGGATCCTCACTGGGTCTTGGTCCTTTTCTGAGGCTCTTTTACATCTGGGTTCCTCTCAAGGATGCAGACAGACACTCAGCAGACACTCCCAACAAGATAGGTTAAAAATACCTCTGCATTTATTTGAATCCTTCAGATAACAAGGAGTGTTTGCTCGGCAGAAACCACTCACAAAATACAGCACTGGCAAACAACAACAACAACACTATACTTGCACTGGGGTAATCTTGCAACCTGGCTTTCTCACCCGAAGGTTTAAGAAAGAGAGTCCACTCCCACAGGCATAGTCCACAGCATTCCTGGTTGCAGTCCTGAAGGCCTCAGCCTCTGTTCGTTCCCTGTGTGACTACTGCCCGACGTTCGGTAAAGGCCTCTTATCAGTTGGTCAAGGCCACCAGGTGTTTTTGATTAACGCTCAGCCCCAAACAGGCTGCAACCAGCCTGTGAAAACTTATAGCTTGGTCGCATTAATAAAAGCCTACGTTCTGTAAGTTCTAATCCTTACAGGCTTGGACAGCACTCCCAATTTGAAAGCCGTGAAATTTAGGCACTCAGGATTTTTGGCAATACTGTTGGGGGAGGAAATGTTTCTAAATAGGGGAATATCCAAATTCACAGCGTACCTAATGCTCAGAATCCCACTTGGATCTATTCAGTGAGGCTTAATCTCAAGAAAGTGTTTTTAGGGTTGAACTGTAAACCAGCAAAGCATTTAGGAGGAATTGGTGCATACATCAATGTAAGTGTCATGTGCTGGGTACCTTAACGTCAAAAGCAGCTACTGTGGTACAAATTAATAAATAATAAAGGACAAATATAGCTAAATCTTGGAGCCACTGCTGAGGTCCCCCCCCCCATTATTGTGTAATTTGCTCAGTCTAGAAGTGCAAGGATGCGAAAAGTAATATCTGCAAGAATTCTGTTTAAACTGATCAAATGCCAGTGGTGTTTTAAGTCAGGGATATGAAACTCTACTATCCCACTGTTATTACTGGAATTTAAGCACTCTGCTTTCATACGACTCCTGGCATTTTAGGAGAAAGTAATAATATAGCCCAATTTTTTGTTTTAAAGTCAGCCGCTGCAGTTTATTACAGAAACGTTGGTCCAATTTGTTTTAAATCAAAATGCTGTAGGCATATTGCACAAGGTTGCACAACCAGGAAAGAAGTTCCTGTTTGAAAGATAAGTTGTGTGTTTAGAAGGCAGTGGTCCAATTTAAAAGCAGTGTGTTGTGAGCACCTTTCTCCCCCCCTTCCCCCCTCAAGGAGATGTTTTATTGCTTCATTATTTAAAAGGGAAAGGATTTATGTACCTGTTACGTTCTCATTCTGAAATGATGATCAAGGATCTTGCACCTCCAGTACTTGGCGCTTGTGTTACTATTTATGTATATGTGATATTTATTCTCTTTTTGAACCATTACAGAATGGCAACTCTTTAAGTCCACCATGTATCACTGGCAGGGTATAAACAGGTCTTTAAACACCTGCTAGCTTTCCTGTACATGATATCAAATGTTAACAAATAACTGTATCTGAATGTAGCTTATACACACACTTGCAAATATGCTCAGACTTTATTTAGTTATATGAAAACGTCATGTGCCTGTACAAGGCATTAAGTCTTTTGTGGCTTATGTTACTGTCTTTTGCGGCACTTCTATTTTAATATTTGAGCAACCTGTATCTTCCTATCCATATGCATGGCTCAGAAAACTGGAGTAGGCATTGAGAAGCTTTGAGCCAGATTCCCCCCATCCCTTCTCCCCCTCCCCCAAATTAAATGTCTGTTAGATTTTCTGTGTAGCTGTATTATGGGCACAATGGACACAGGTTCAAAACATGATAAGCATGGCATGAATTGGAACTATACAATACCAGTGTCGCATGTCCTGCCACTAATTCATTCTTTCTAATTCAGCAAAGGGTTGTAGGGAAGCAATCTCTGGATTGGGGGGGCCAGAGTACAAAAGAATCTATTCTTCTGCGCTCAGCCTTCCTTATAGTCCAACTCTCGCAGCCATACATGACTACTGGGAATACCATTGCTTTGACCATGCGGACTTTTGTTGGCCTGTACAAGGCAGTAAGTCTTTTGTGGTTTATGTTACTGTCTTTTGCGGCACTTCTATTTTAATATTTGAGCAACCTGTATCTTCCTATCCATATGCATGGCTCAGAAAACTGGAGTAGGCATTGAGAAGCTTTGAGCCAGTTTCCCCCCATCCCTTCTCCCCCTCCCCCAAATTAAATGTCTGTTAGATTTTCTGTGTAGCTGTATTATGGGCACAATGGACACAGGTTCAAAACATGATAAGCATGGCATGAATTGGAACTATACAATACCAGTGTCGCATGTCCTGCCACTAATTCATTCTTTCTAATTCAGCAAAGGGTTGTAGGGAAGCAATCTCTGGATTGGGGAAAAAAGGGTCTATTGTAGTAGAAGGATGAAGCTAAAAATGGGGTAATTTAAAGGGCTTCTTTGGTTGATCCTGGATTCTATGTTTGCTGCTTTGATGCTGGATGGACTCATAGTCCATTTCTCTCCAAATCTTATGTTTATAAGATCTCACCCTTTGAGCTTATGCATGTACCCCCTAGCTCCCTGGTGGCGAACCTATGGCACGGGTTCCAGAGGTGGCACTCAGAGCCCTCTCTGTGGGCATGTGCGCCATCGCCCCAGCTGCCTGGGCAGCCCCCATTGGGCAGTTTGAATGGAGGGCAGGGCCCACACAAGGCAGACGTCGAGCCAGTGGGGGAAGAGAAGCCGGCTGCGCCCCGTGACTCCCCTTCTCCTCCGAGGTGGCTGACCGTGACGAGCAGCACCAGCAGCAGCCTGCAGGAGGCAGCACCTGCCTGAGTGTGTGCGCCTCTCTGTCCCCTGAGCCCTGCCTGGCCGGTGCCTTGCCTCCTCCAAACCTGCAAGCGAGTGTCCCTCTCCTCCTCCTCTGTTCCGTCCTCTGCCAGCGTCAGCGTCGTCATCTTTGTCCCTGGGAGTGGGAGTGGGCAGCCCGGCCTCTGCTGCCTTCCTGCTGCTGCTCCCCTCCCTCCCTCCAGTGCACAGGACTCGAGGTCAGGGGGCAAGAGCGGCTCCTCGGGGTGGGTGGGTGAAGACATGGGTGTTGTCGTTGTGGGAGTTGCACGAGGTCTTTGGGCTTGGAGGGGGGTCAGGAGAGGGCTTGCCATCGCCTCCGGTCTCCTGTTGTTCCTGGCTGCTGGGACGACCAGGTGGGCCCCTGTTCTGATTCTTTCTCCTGGCTTTTCTGTTGGCTGGGGGGCGGTGCCTGGGCGGGCGGGGGTGGGCTAGTGGCATCCTGCTGGGGGCTGCTGTCGGCCCTTGGCTGGGGGTGTACTAAAAGGAAGTACAGGATTATCCATTGGAAACAATGGGAAACACTTGAAGGCCCATTGGAAATAATGGGAGCCAGGAATGC